AACCCAAAAACAAAAACAAAACATATATTAAATTTAATTTTATTTATGACATTGTGTGTGTATGTGTATGTGTGTGGGGTGTGGGTGTGGGTGTGGTATGTGTGGGCATGTGTGTGTGGTATGTGTGAGAATGGGTGTGTGTGTGGTATGTGTGAGCATGGGTGTGTGCACGTGTGTCTGGTATGTGTGAGCATGGGTGTGTGTGTGTGGTATGTGTGAGCATGCGTGTGTGTACCACAGCACCTGTACAGAGGTCAGATGACAACGTTCAGGAATCTGTTCTCGTTCATGTGGGTTCTGGGGATTGAACTCTGGTTATTAGGTTTATTAAGCCATCTGGCCGATCCTAAAAACATATTTAAACTGGTGCACGGATGGGAGGGTGTCCTTTGCGGACTAACAAGAACCTGGGCAAAAATCAGGGCTTGAGGGCAAGACTTTTCTGTGGTCCCTGTGGGGGTTTGAATAAGAATGGGCCCAGAGGCTCGCTATCATCAGGGACTGGCACTATGTGAGCAGGATTAGAGGTGTGGCCTTGTTGGAGGAAGTGGGTGCTGTCTCTCCCTGCTCCCGCTGATCCAGGTGGAGAACTCTAGGCTCCTTCTCCAGCACCATGTCTTTCCCAGTGCCGCCACGCTGACCATGGACTAAACTTCTGAAACTGTAAGCCAGCCACCCCCTCCCCCCGCAATAAAATGCTTTGTTTTATAAGAGTTGCCGTGGCCATGGTGTCTGTTCACAGCAATAGAACTCTAACTAAGACAGGTCCCCAGGTAGAGTGGGAGGTCCATGCCCAGGAAGACTTCGAAGGCATGGACTGGTGCCACCCAGAAGCACCTGGGAAAGCTGCGTGAGGCAGAAGTTTCCCTCGTATGAGCTGACTGGAGTGAGGGGTGACAGCCATCACCTGACATCCACACTAGTGGGTAGGGACAGCCTCATCCAAAATCCCAGGTCGATTTTAGCATCAAAAAGCAACCAAACCATGCCGATTCTAAGCCAGGATAGGGCTGTTCTAGTTCCAGTCCCACAGGTTATCCTAAAACCACATTTTACGGGATTGGAAACCTTAATTGGTGCAGACTCCCAAACCCTCCCTGCCATGGTGGATAAAAGATAGAAAGAGCGCTCTGCCTTCTCAGCCATGGTCCCACTCAGTCCCGGGATACCTACAGCACCCAGCTCCAGCAGGGTAACATCATTCCCCGGGGTGTGGGGGGGGAGTGCCGGTAAAGTTGTTATTCCTCCCCTTCCCCGCTCACAGGAGCCCGGGAAACAACCAATCTAATAAGGGCCTGAGAAGTTGCAATCTCCCTACCATCCAGCAGGTGGCAGCGTGGCACTGCAAACCCCACCTCTCCTTGTAGCTTGCCTATTTCAAGTTGGCTCTTGTTTTATTTTTTATTTTGTTCTGTTTTGTTTGTTTTATTTTTTGAGACAGGGTCTCTTCATGTACCTCCAGTTGTCCTGGAACTCACTATGAAGACCAGGCTGGCCTGAAACTCAGCGATCCACTTGCCTCTGCCTCCCAAGTGCTGGGATTAAAGTCCTGTGTCACCCCGCCCAGCAATCTCGCCCATTACAAACAGGTGGCGTGGCTGACTTCAGACACGTTCCCTGGTTTTCCTTCAGAGCTGGCGATTTTGATACTGAACGTTCTTGATTAACTGATTGTCTCTGTTTCTTTCCTTTTGCCATGACAAACACCCCAATGAAAGCAACAGCACGGAGGACTGGTTTCTTTTCCCTCATAGTTTAAGTGAGTCCATCGTGGTGGGGAAATCAAGCTGGCAGGAGCTTGAAGCAGATGACGTCATCATATCCACAGCCAGATTAGGGGAGTAACTTGAGTCATGCTGATGCTGCTGTCATCTTATACAGCCCAGGGAGTGCGCCTGTCTGTCTTCCCGCCTCTGTGGTCACAACCAAGACAACCACGTGCATACACACACACACATACACACACATACATACATACACATAAACACACACACACACACACACACACAGAAATCCCCAAAGTTCCACCTCCCGGGTGATTAGAGATTCTGTCAAGCAGGTAATTAACATTAACCATCTAACTGGATAGCGTGTCTGCCCTCCTGGCCGGGAAAGTCTAGAAACCGCAAGCCCATCTCATGACTGACCCAGGTCCTAGCTTTAATGCAATCTCCCTGGCAATGTCAATGGCAGCTATGGTTAAACTCTCTGCCGGGTTCTCCTCCGAGTCTCAGGCAACACTTGAAGATTCACCTTGTCCGTGGCTGTGGCCTAGACTCTAGCGCACCCTGCTGAAACCCCCCTAACATCTCCATGACTTCACGACATTCACTCAACAGCACCCAAGGGCCTCACATCCACCATGTCCACAGAAGCCCGTCCTCTAGACACAGGTTGAGACTTGGAGCCCAGCCAAACAGTGCGCTCTCCTCAGCCTCACCATGGACAGCTCTCGACTGGAGCAGACACAGGCCCCTCTTCTCCTTCCCACCTATACAGCTATGGCCATGGGAGTGGTCTTTAATACTCTCCTGGGATGTCTCCCTGTAGCCAACCTGTAGTTTCTTTTGTTTTAGTAAATAAAGCTTGCCTGAAGTTCAGAGAGTTAAACAGACACACTGGTCAGCCTTACAGACCAGGCAGTGGTGACACACACCTTTAATCCCAGTAGCCACACTGGTTTGCCATAGAAATTGGGCAGTAGTGGTACATGCCTTTAATCCCAGCACTAGAGAGGAATATAAGACTGGAGGAGACAGCTCTCAGACACAGTCTTATTCTGAGATTCCTGGAGGCAGGGTCACCATTTCATACTGAGAAAGAGCCAGTGGCTGGCTGTTTTGCTTTTCTGACTCTCAGGTTAAACCCCAATTTCTGTCTCTGGGTTTTTATTAATGGTGCCACACCAACCTTCCTGTCTTCCAAAAGGACAGACTCCCCTGGACAGCATCAGCATCTGGTGCTGTTGCTACATGCCTCTCCTTCTCTGGCTCCCAATGGCCCCTGCTACTCATCTTGTGGGCTTTGCCTCTTCTGATGACCTGATCGTCCTATGTCCCAGTCTGTGGGCCTAACCCATACCTTACTTTCAGATCTGGGCCCAATCACACTGGTTTGTTCTCTATCAACTCCCACACATCCCTGCCATCAGCCCAGGGGCAGACACTTGGAAAAGGCCTCACAGAGACATGTTATCCTTTGGGCCAGAATGCCTTTTCTAGTTGACACCTGTCCTCCACAACATAGCTGGACACAAGGTGAGCCAGTTCAGAGCAATCAACAAGTGGTTGTCTGGCCTCTTTCTTTTCTAGAGTAAGGCCTGATGTGGCTGAAGCATGGATGTTCTTTCAGGGAGGAGCGTCAAGACAGGGTTTCTCTGTGTAACAGCCATGGCTGTCCTGAAACTCACAGAGATCCACCCACTTTTGCCTTCTGAGTCCTGGGATTAAAGGCATGTGCCGCCATGCCTGGCTCATCTGTGTTCTTGCATACTGGCAATGGCCTAGAGCCCCAGAACCTTCCAGCAAATGCATGGCTCTCACCCATTCACTTCACAAATGTGCATCATGTATCTGTCCGTCCATTCTTGGAGAGTGCTCAGCAATTGAATCATTCTCTCTTCCTAGTGAAACTCAGAACAGAGAGGTTAACTGACTCTGTCAAAGTCACACAGCATGGCCTTCTGAGTGGTTCTGCCTGTGCTGGAAGCCAGAGTGGCCCCATCTCTCACCTTAGTGAAGAGAATTCTGCTGAAACCACAGCCCTAGGGGGTTTCACACCTTGGGAGGCTCTGGTCACAGCGCTAAGCCCCTCGGCAGCCTTCACATTTGGGGCTTTAGTTGGCAAACATGAAGGAAGGTCAGCAGCTCCTCCTCATGTTCTGTAGGCAGAAAGGGAGCCTTGGGTACTAGCCTCCTACCTCCTGTGGCAACAAAAAAACGCCACCTGCTGTAACCCCCCCTCCAGTCTCAGACAATCTGAGCCTCCAGTACCCAGGGCAGGCTTTGGCTTCAAGGCTTGCACCCCTAGAGGAAAGATGAACCAATGCGCCGCACAGTCCCTGCTTCTGAGTGGGGGCGACAATATTGGAAACAGACATTCTAGATCAGTTGGGGCACACAAAGCCCTCAGATCTAGGCTACCTGTGGTGTGGAGAGGTGTCTGGGCTGAGACTGAGGCCTCGGCAGGTGAAGGCAACCCCAGTCGCTCACCAACAAGGAGTCTGGACCCTTCTCTTCTCTGGTGACCTCTGATCGGCCCTCAAATTCTAACTCCTCTTCCCAGTCAAAACGGAGAAAATCTACCCTATTCTTCCCCCAGGACAAGACTGAGAATCCTTCACGCGAGAAGTTGTCTGTCTTTAGCAAAAGGTTTCATTCCCAATGCTGGTCCTCACCTCAAACCAGAACTTTAGGAGACGGCGGGAGCCTCATTGGGATGCACTTGGTGGTGGAGCGACAGACCTGTCTAAAGGACGGGACGCCTTCAGGAAGGTGAGAACTCAACCCATAGGACCAGACCTGTGATCACTTGGAGCAGGCTATGCCTTACCAAGTCTGTGTCTTGGCCCGCTCCGCCCGAGACCGGGAGGAGGACCCGGCAAAGAGCTATCGTTAGGCTCCCGCGGGTGAGGACTCAAAGCAAGACAAGACTGAAACAGGTACCCCAGGACTAGAGAGCTTTTGGGGCGGCGACCACCCCACACCCCGCCGAAGGAAACAAGAGACTACAACTGAGACACCAAGAAGCAGGCTAGCCTCTCCCGGGTCCCGAGGCCCCCATCTTCCATCTCTGGGCTTGTAGCGGATGGAGCAGGGCTGGGAAGATGCGGACAGCAGGTCCCCTCTGATTGGACAACGCGAAGTCCCAGCCGGCACCTCAGCAGCTTAAAAACGAAACCCGGACGAGTCGGAGCTAGAGCAGCCCCGGCCGGCCATGCGCCTTGGCGTGGAAGTGCAGAAGGGGTGGAGGGAGGCCGGAGAGGCCACGCGGAGGCCCAGGGACCGACAGACAGCCGAGCAACCAGACGTGGCCGCAGGGCAGGAAGCTGCACTGGGGTAGCAGGCTCCAGAGGGTCATGGCCGAGCTCAAGTCGTTGCCCGGGGACGCGTACCTGGCACTGAGCCACGGCTACACCGCTGCTGGTCACGCCTACGCAGCGGCGCGCGGACCAGAGACTACACGCGGCTTTGGTGCATCCGGTCCAGGTAGCGACCTCCCCGCGACGCCTGCTTCCCGCGTCCCCGCCGCGACGGTCGAGAGCAGCGGGGAGCAGAGCGGCGATGAGGACGATGCCTTCGAGAGGCGGCGGCGGCGGCGAGGGCCCGGGGTATCGGTGGACGCACGGCGGCGGCCCCGGGAGCAGCGCTCACTACGGCTCAGCATCAACGCGCGCGAACGGCGGCGAATGCACGACCTGAACGACGCGCTGGACGGACTGCGCGCAGTCATCCCCTATGCGCACAGCCCGTCGGTGCGCAAGCTCTCCAAGATCGCTACGCTGCTGCTGGCCAAGAACTACATCCTCATGCAGGCTCAGGCCCTGGAGGAGATGCGGCGCCTGGTGGCCTACCTCAACCAAGGCCACGGTCTCGCTGCGCCTGTGGCCGCCACGCCTCTGACGCCCTTCGGCCAGGCAGCGGTCTACCCGTTCTCGGCGAGCTCGGCGCTCGGGCCCTGCCCAGATAAGTGCACCGCCTTCTCCGGGTCGCCCTCGGCGCTTTGCAAACACTGCGGCGAGAAGGCCTGACCGTGCCGAGCCCCTCCGCAGCCGCATTTTATTTAGACTACCCACTGTCCTCACTGGCGGGACCCTATGGGGAGAAGGCAGCCGGACCCCGGACCCTGTTTGCAGAACTGTTGGGTGCAGACCCCGAAGTCGGTCCTGGCAGAGCCAGAGACTCTCGAGACACCGCCGCAACCACAGAGCTCTCTCAGGGTCCGCTGGGCGTTGCCAGCGCGGTAGGGGTGAGGATGACAGGTTACCAGCTGTGCGCCAAAAGAAAGCCACGGTAGGAAACAGGTAGTGGTTGGTCCCACTTCGGACAGGTGACTCGGCCCAAGGCTCAGGAGCGCAGACACAGAGCACTTCCGAGCACTAGGGATTGTCCTCTGCCCCAATCCCTTCTAGGCCAATCTGCAGGGTCTTGCTCCAACTAGGCGTGTTCGCAGGACGGGTGTGGCTCCTTACTCGGGGTCCTCTGATGGCCCCAAGAATCCGGACCGGGCCGCTGAGAGAGGTTCTACCGCGGTCCTTTGCAACAGAAGTGAGGGCAGACGTAGGAACCCAGGAGATGAAATTTGCAGCATTTTCCAAGTATGAATGTGTTCTGTAACGTTCTTTCCTGCCCAGAGGTTCAGGAAACCGGCGGCTGGAAGGGGCGTCATTTCGTGCTGTTTTTTCCAAGGGGACTGATGGAGTGCAGGTCCTCACAATTTGCACGGGACTACTTGAGGGTCAGCCGAGGACTTCAGTCTAGATTCAGGGTCAGTGAAGCCCCTCTGCTCCCGTTCAGGGACTTCTGGAGGAAGCCGGGCTACCGGTGAGTACCCGGCGCTGGACTGTTTGGTAACCGGTCGCTCACAAAGTAGAACCGCAACCCAGAATCCTGACACTTGACTCTAGCCGGAGCCTTTAGCCCGGAGCATGCTTGCTGGTTTTCGCTGCGTGGCCCTCGGCAGCTTCCGCCTCTGTTTACCCAATTATCTCGGCCTTCTTAGAGGCAAAGCAAATCGAGAGAGGGCTGCCGTCCTGCAAAGCGCCTGTCTATGACGCTTAACTTCAATTAATGCGCTTGAAAAGGCCCTTTTGTATTCGCAAAATGACGTGTGTGATTAAGTCTTATTCATAAAGACAGTATGCTCAGTACTGGTTTTTGCTCATTTCCATTTTTTATTTCTTAATTCTTTTCCCGTCCCCTAAACTAATCTGCTTTGCACAATTCAAAACACTGTTTTCAAGTTCTCTTAAAATGAGCAGGGAAAATTGGAAACTCGAGAGTTGTTAGTTCTGGGGTCATTACCCATCATTAACTGAAAAAGTCCTCTGTATCTGTTAAGACTGGGGATGGGGTACAGAATAAAGTATTCGATTTCAGCTTACCTTACAAAAGTAATATTGTTAAATTTTAATATCAAATTAAGTGTCCATCTTTGACTTGATTTATAATATCTATTTTTAGGCAATGGTATTGACTTGGGATCCTTCTTCTAGAGCCCCAAGAAATCTCTGAGTCTTTAAAACAAAACGCCATTAACAGATACTTGGGTGCATCTGAGAAAAGTGAAGTGGGGTGGTACACACACCAGTGATCCCAACCTGCAGGAGACTGAAGCAAGAGGGTGGAAATTTTGAGGACAGTCTTAGGGAGACCCTCTTAGAAAAAAACAAAACAAAACAACAACAACAAAAACTCTTTAAAAAAAAGAAAAGAGGGAAAAATCTTTCCCCTAGAATGAAAGCAGTTGTTAAGGAGCTGGGAGGGGTAGTGGTGTAAGAGCCCATAACCTCAACACTTGGAAGGTGGAAATGGGAGAGTTGTTTCAATTCAATTCGGTTTCAGCCTGAATTAGACTAAGACCTTATCTAAACAAAGGAATAACAACTCCTCCCCCAAAAAAACCCAAAACACAATTTCTAACCATTTTGCTAATAAAAACATCTCAGATTACTAATCTTAAATAAAAGTTCAAATTAAATCAGAACATTTTAAAACTGCAGGTTGTTCTCCAAATATCAACCAAACTTTCACTGGGATAAATGAGTAAGGGTGGGGTATTTCAAAGTGAGACTCCATAGCTTTCTTAGTTGTGGCCAATCATAAAGCAATATGGTATTAATAAAACAACTGCAGCCATTAATAAAGCATCCTGGACTTGCATGGCAAGCTTTAATTCTGAGGCTACCTTCCACAGTCTCCCTACGGAACAGGAAAATTCAGCCAGGTGCCTGTTTTAAGTGTACCTCTTTTGAAGCAGCTCGTGGGGACTCTGGTTGTTTCTTCCATGGGAGTAAAGAGTCCTTGTGGGTAAGAATCACTGAGTCCTTGGGGAAGCACCTCATTTACACCTGGGATTTGAACTAGTGCCTTGCAGAACTGATTACCTTGTTTGTTTTATCTTGATGTGATTTGCTGTTTGCTTTGTTTTTTGCTTGTTTGTAAGTAGGTGTGGTTCTGTTAAGGTGCAAAGCAGTGTCCCCAGACCTAGGCTCTTCCCTCCACGCAGCTGAGTCAGCGTGCTCCACACAGGAAAGTGGGTGGTATGGGAAGCTTACGTTTTTTTTCCTAAGTGGATGCATAAAACGTGGACAGAAATGGGTTAAATCACTTTTACTGGTGATGTTTATGTCTCCACATGGAATCATGACAGCCTCCAAGCTGCCACCTTGCACACAGAGCTCATCTCTATTCCAACCGGAGATGTTTTCCGTTCTCTGTGCACACTCGTGGCTCGTGGCCACAGTGGCCTTGGCACAGCTCCAGGCTGTGACCGCAGAGAACATTGAAATGCCCTGTGCTTCTTCCTTTTGTCCAATAGCTTCCAGGAAATGCCACCAATTTAGGGAACAGATAATGCTCTACTCATTTTCTCTTTTGACACCTACTCATAGAATCTCTCCTCAAGACACTGGGGTGGGAGCAACCTGTCAAGAGAGGAGACCGGCAATGAGTCTCTGACCCCATGTCCTCCTGCTTCACTTTGACTGACCACACCCAAGCCAGAGGAGCCCACAATTAAACAAGGCCCCTAGGTCCCTCCCACCTGGGGTCAGGTAGTCTTGACTCAGTACCACTTTCCCCTGCTGACCACATCGGTGAAGTTAGCTTTGCTGGGTGCTAGTTGAGCATCCCAAAGACATTGACTTGGCCTATTCTGAGAAGGGTCTGGGGAAGTCCAGTTTACGGGAACTCAACGGTGTGAGGAGTCCAATGGCTCCCTAGGAACCACCTTGCCCAGTCAGTTCCTACGCCATCTCCAACCACAAACTGTCGTATCCACTCCTGGACGTCTGTTGCTGGCCTGCTATTCTCCTCAGGGCACCCAGCGTGTCACATAGGTCAGGAGATTTAAGGTGCCCTGATTTAAGGGCCAGAATCCTAAGTTCAACATCATCTCTTTCCACCCCCTTTCTTAAATCACACACAGACTGGTCTCTCCTTAAGTTTCCATGCTTTGTGATTCCCATAGCTGGGACACTGCAGGCACCTCGCCACACAAAGTCAAATCTGTTTGCTGAGGGTTCTCCCGTCAACTCCTGGGGCTTGTGGGATATTTAGTCCCTACAGACCTCCAGGTTCCATATACACAAAGGCTTTTGTTTCTCCCAAGTTAAGAAATACACTGGCCTGAACCACAAATACACATACACACACACATACACCCCCCCACACACACACACCACAGAGCCAGGCTGTGGGGGCATCCAGCCATAGAAAAGAGGAGGTGAGGTGACCCGAGGTGCCCCCTTTCCAGCATCCCCTCCAACTCTCTGCCACTCTCCTGGCTTCTCCTATACCCTCCTTCCAGGCAGGTTGGCCTCCAGATGCTTCGTTTTGTTCATTTCATCTCGGAGCTGAATGTAAACACTCCCATTTACCCAAGTCACCAGAGAACCAAACAGACACATCTTCAGCCAAATGAAAATATTAACAGGAGAGACTTTTTAACTGTGTGTATCTGTGTGTAGGCATGTGCACACACGTGTAGACGCCCTCAGAGACCTGAGGGATTGGATCCTCCTGGAGTTGAAGTTACAGATGTTATGAACACCTGGTGTAGGTGCTAGAAAACAAACTTGGATCCTCTGGAAGAGCAGTCAGTGTTCTTCATCGTGAAGACATCTCTCCAGCCTCGGGAGGCACTTTTAGGAAATTTTTTAAGTTTTACTTTTATACTTTTACTTACTTTGTGTGTGTGTGTGTAGAGTGGGGGGATGCATGCACAGCACAGAATAACGCTCAGGAGTTGGTTCTTTCCTTCTACCATAGGGGTCCAAACCCAAGTCGTCACCTTGGCGGCAGGTGCCTTTCCTGTCAGTACAGGAGGTACTTCTTCACGAGAACAAATACTATTTTTGTAATTTTCCATAAGAAGTGAAAAGCCATCACCTCAGCCCCACAGCCACTTGGGCCACGCCGTCTGCTGTGCCCATAGAAAGAACCTGCAGTGCATTGCTGGGCAGAGGCTCCTAAGCCTGGGTTAATCCGGCAGAGAATGATGACAGCAATTTTATAATGTAAATTTGTTTGTGATCTGTTTTTAGTCTTTATTCCCTTTTGAAGGGATGGAGATAGAGGGATTTGCAATGTATTAAACCATTTCTCTAACAATTGCCTCTTTGTAACCAGCCGTTCTGTTCCAACACCTCAACAACAGTCTGTTCTGAGAAACCGGAAAGTTATGACATGAATGCAAACTCACCCCCAGAGGAACAGAACCCACGTTGCCAGGAGCACAGGAAGGTTCAAACGGTTTGCTAACTGACCTTCAAAGCCAGTATTGTCCCTGCAGTGAAAATGATCCAGGTCGGTGCTTTGCCAGCCCGAAGCTCCCCTGGGGGGTATTTACTTATGTCGTGTGGAAAAGCTGTTTTTGAGTACCGGAAAGGAGGGTGACAGTTGTGGATTGCATATGTGGAAGAGGGTCTCTGAGCAGGGCAGCGTTGCTCTGTTTCACTGTCTCTGTTCTCCGAGGGTACACCTTTGTATACCTCTGGGGCTCAAGTAACCAGAGACCGCACTTTCGAGAAGCACAGCCATCACAATGTAATGTTGAGCTGGGTGTGACCCCAAGACTCTCAGGTCACCTGGCATGCCCACCTCACCCTGAGCTACTAGCTAGGGACACAGAATAACAGCCAGCACATCAGAGAACACCCACCTAAGGCATCTTTCTGTCCAGTTTCTATCTCTGATCCCCACTTTGTTCAAAGCAATGAGCCCACAGTTCACCCTCCCATGGCCTCTGATTTAGCCTGATAAGAGGCTGGTTTCCCTAGTTCCACAAGGACCTCGTTTACTGTCCTCAAGAGAGCTTTCCCAGGCAGGAGTTTTTGCCAAAATGCTAAGACACACATGAGACCTGTGATGCTTTTGGTAGTCACAAGGCCTCTGACAGGGTATGTTTTTGATGCTGTTCTCTGCTGCCCTTGCAAGCTGACGGCTTTCATGGCTGTGCCCAGCCCGCTCAGCACTTCCTTCTTTCTGACCACTCACAGCACCGATGTTCTAAAACCCCAGAAACAAACAGTCTCTGTGCACAGGGAAAATTCCGTCTTATAAAGCCCTAGCATTCTCAGACTGCCTTGGTCTGTGCCGTGGTGCCATGGTCTGATGAGGGGCAGAGGCAACCCCAGAGGAGCTTGCCATGACCTGCCTGTCTGACTGGCATGGCATGGGTGGGAACCTGGACTCCAAAGTCTACAGACCTTCTGGGTGTGTCTTACACATGTGCAACATGCCTGTGTGTACGTGTGTGCGTATCTGTGGAGGCACACAAAACTTTCTCCCCATTGAGACTCCTGAGTTCTAGGTTTCAGTCTTTAAAAAAAAAAGATTTATTTATTTATTTTATGTTTATGAGTGCTCTAGGCCTTTAGGCCAGAAGAAAACATCAGATCCCATTACAAATGGTTCTGAGCCAGTATGTGATTGCTAGGAATTGAACTCAGGACCTCTGGAAGAGCAACCAGTGTTCTTAACCACTGAGCCATCTCTCCAGGCCTAGGTTCTAGTCTTGAAGCAGACTGTTCACAGCTCTTTGGATCACCAAGCTTCCGATCTCCTCTGGCTCAGAGAGATCCTTGGTTGTCCAGCTTTGCAAAGGGCTGAAAAGGATCTTCCTATCAGCCCAGGTGTGGTGATTTTT